CCCCCCCCGCGCCCAATCAAAGCCCCCTGTGTGCGCGCCCCGCGTGGGAGTAAGCCCTGACACCGGATAACGACCGGCGTGTCGCGACCTTACAGGGCGTTCATACAAGGGCGACGGTCAGGGAAGGGACAGTGACCTGAGTCGCAGCCTGACTGGAGGAAAGCAGGCGGAGTGTGGCCGAAAATGCCAACTAAAGGAAACGGAGAGCCTTTCTACGAAGCATCACATGGATCGGATCGGGGTTTCATTCTCATCTCGACTGAAAAGTGGACAAGCATGATTTAGAAGTACGAAAAGCAACTGATGATTAAGTAGTAAGCACATTCACCAGACACCCCTCCTTTAATAATAACTCCTGATGTTGCTTTCGATCAATAAAATTCTTATGTACTTTGAGATTCATAAAAAAAAATCGGGAAGGAGAGTTTTTTCATCGAGACTGAGTGCCATCTTGTCTGAATGTACAAAAATGTGATGTAAATAAAATAAAGAATAGTGTTTATTAAAAAAAGATTTTGCAGGTACTGTCAATTATTGTGCTACCTTATTTCTTAGAATACATGTTAATATTTTATTTTCAAATCTTTTTTTATTTAGAGCTAAAGATCGCTTGTCGTCGATCGATTAGCAAAGATGCTTCAAAGACAGGCAGGTTAGAAACCGTAAAACATCCCTAAAGAAAGTTTTACATCACATGGCACAAACAGTGCCGACATGTTCTTTTAAAGACGATGTTTCTTTCGACGGTGTATTAAAATTGAAGTTAATTTGTTGAAATCGGCGGTTCTTGTGCGGGAACTTTTCTAGCGATCAATGCCCATTATTCAAAACCAAGATTTCATAAGAATTCCGCGATCGTTGGCAGCTAGTAGCGGCAACACGAAAGGCAAAGAAGATGTCGACCTCTTGGAAATCAGCCACGTGTTGCTAAAATTTGGCGCACTTCCTGCGAGGTCTGGAGTCCCAGGAAGCAGCTGGGATTTCTCATGGGGAACCGGAAGCGGGAGGTGGCGTTTTTCCCTTCAGCTCCGAGTCCTTTTGAGCCGTGAGGGTCTCCCAGAAGAGGTTTCGGAGCGGACTCGGCGGCAAATCCTGCGACTCCTCTCGCAACGGGACACATAAAAGGCATTTCTCGCCCAAATAACTTGAATTTTGGGGTTGCTTGATAGAACAAAGCGGTTGGGGTAAACAGAGCGTATTTTATTTTGCGACGGAATGAGAACCGTGGCAGGAATAGTGATCCTTAAGCGTGTTCTGTCAATGGAGTCCTGTCACGATGTGAAATAGACACAGATCGAACAAATGAAAGTAGATTTAGAGCAATGATAGAATGGGACGCTTTTGGCAGTCTGAAAGTGAGATAAGATGCTAAAAATCGCGCTGGCAGAAAAATTTTGATGTATGTTGTTATTTAATCAAGCTGATCAGACTAATTAAAAAACGCGAAGAGGTACTCTTATATCCTCTTCATTAACGTCTCTCTTTTTTCACTCCTATCGCTCGTACGTTCATTCAGTTGTCATATTTCGACTTATTACTTGTATTGCTAGTCAGATACTTTGTAATTGATGCTTCGGTTTAGAGGATTTAATTTAACTTATGTTATTTTTTGTTATGAGACTGTTCATTTTTATACGGTATTTCAGAACTGTAATTTAAGATTAAATTCTATAAAACTAAATCATAGCTCCATTTTAGTTGCCGTCAAGGTCTCTTACTATACTACTGATATTCATGAAGTACATTCTATCGTGTTTATAAATTATTTTTTATACGTCATTCATATTAAATCATTAGTGCGTTTAAGTCACGGAACTCTGAGAAAAAATATTTTTTCTTATAAAATATTTGCCTAAGAGATACTTGTGCTTGTCTTTCTTTCCATTAAGAGCAATCTTTTCACGAAAAGAGCCAGTGTTTTGTCATTATGACGTCAGATCTGGGTGAATGCTGCACTATTGTTGCTCGCCTTCTTGAAATCATTTATTTATCAGAGAAAACGGTGACTTCGCTCCACCGAAACATGAGGGCGGAACATTTTGTCTCGTGTTCCTGCGCTGTGGTCGCAACTGTGTGGGGGGAGATCGTGTTGTGTGTAGGGGCAAAGGAGCGTGCGTGGGCGGCGCCGAAAGCGTCCGCACGATTTATGTCGCGCCAGCTGCTTGTCGCAACTAATTCGCCCGGGTTGGGTGGTCGTTGCCGGCGGGCTACTCGGAGCGGTAGGATTTGCAAGAAAGCCCGGATGATCACCTTAGTGTAGCGATGTGGCCGGCGTGTGGAATACGCACAAAGGATGTGAGTGGCACCAAACGGAAGAAACATGGAAGAGAGCACAACAGGAAGAAGTGACTGGACCGGCTGAGATGAGTCGGTGTAACAGTTGTTGCTACTTCAGTGTTTATGGCTGGGCGGTTGTGAGATTCCTAGCCAGACGGTGTGTGGAGGATTTTCGACACTAGCTACATAAACTAATGTAGCCTCAGTTTGGAGGACTCTACATAGCTGATTTAGTCCAATCAAGAAGCTGTCTGAAGGGGAATTACATGGGCTGGCTGCTGTGATTTATATCTTTTCTGCGATCAATGACATGGAATCCTCGCGAAGTTCCCTCACAATTGGGCCAAGCATAGCACGCAATATTGTCTTCCTCATACTTGTCCCTCTCTACTCCTCTTTCACACACACACACACACACACACACACACACACACACTTAAGTGCACGACATCACCTCTAACGCGGAGACACCAGTCGGGAGCTTAGTGCTTGTCCCGGTCGAAGCGGTTCCCCGCTGGCGGAGATACTTGGAGAGGGAACCCAGCCAGTCGAAATATCGGTTGGCGCCGGATCACACGTTCAAACGAGGGAAAAATCCCTTCACCTCTCTGGATACAATAGGCACTACATATTCGAGAATAATGACCACAGCAGTTGACGCGCTCGAATACACAAAATGACCACTCAATCAGTCAAAAAGGAAGTAGTGGGCGGAAGGCGTGGATGGCGTGGGAGCGTCAGGAGGGGCGTGGGGCGTGGGGCGTGGGGCGTGGGGCGTGGCGTCGGTGCGGTAGGTCAAGGGCGGAGCGCTGGCGTCGGCGGGAGCTGAGCTCTACGTACTTGGCGGCGCCACCGACTTCTCAGAACCGTCCGCCAGGCTATCGCCTTACCAGCCGTATCCGGTTTCTCTCTCCTACGTCGCGTCGTTTTCAGCCGCGGTTCGTAAATACTAGGACCACATCACATTAACAAAAAGAGAGAGAAATATATTAAATAAAATCCTTTTTGACAATTTTTTGTATTTTGTGCCTTGTATGTTGGTGTGAATATTTTTTGGGGTATATTAATATTTGAGTGTGTATTGTGTTTGACCGTTTAGGTTTACAAATTATGCCTGGCATCTTCAAGTATATGCTTTAAAGCGTGGCGGCTGAAATGGTGGCCTAACAAAAGAATTAGTTTCGGACTGCCGGTTGCCGTGGAAGGAACTACATCCGTGCTCGGCTAATGAATATATGCACTACGCCAAATCACTTTCTGGGAAGATCAATTTCTGCTGTTAATTGTTTCCAACTAATATTGTTATCAAGCAGAAACGAAATATAAAATGGAGGAAAATAATAAATGGAATCATCAGAAGAAATAGAATTCAGTATTTAACAGATTTACATCCGTTTATGTATTATATAACAATGTTATATAGCTGCAATAAACACAGGAAATGTAATACTGTATTTACTTTTTATTACATGCACAAATGTTTTTAATATGCCTCCCTTAAAGTATTTTTTGTCTCTGTAAGGTGTAACCAAGCATCTCATTTTTCGTATTTAATCGTCATAAACCTTTTAATTTTGAGCAATGTTGACAACAAAATGCAAGGCAAAACGTATTAAATATGCTTCGAGGGGTGGGGATGCGGTGGAAGAAAGGGTTGACATCCTGAATTTCCTGGCGTCATTTTCTTCTTGTTCATTTAGTCACAAAATCTCTCTTTTTTTGATAGATATGAAAATATGTGAACTTTTTTTTAAAAATCTTAAATAATATTTAAGGTTATGTTTTGCGGACACCATTCTCTTCCCCTCGATTATGTAGTTCGTGATTGTGCAATTCAAGAAATTTAATATCTCCATCCTGCGTTTGTGCTGTGAGCAAAAGTTTTTTGCGTGACAGCATTGTCATCTTTGGGGCCGTCCATAAATTGTCGCAAATTGCGAGTATTTTGAATACCCCCTTCCCCCCAGAGTAACGCACCCCTAACGTGCGCTTGAACCACCCGTAAATAATTACGTAACCTTTGATAACCCCCCCCCCGTTTATAAACAATAAAAATAAATTATTTCACAGAAAAAACAATTTGTATTCATGTTATTTGTGTTATGTTTTAAAATTTATGATAATTGAAGTCAGAATTAATTGGCTACGCTGATTACATGTGACAACAATATTGGAAACAAGTGCAATATGATGGCAGGATCCACAGACAAGAACAATACTTACATGTCGTGGATGACGCATGAGTGACAATCTACAGTACCATTTAAAATTATTCTAAAATATAGATTGATCAAATGTGAACTTTTTCTTCGTAATCTTACAGATTCCCTATAAGAAATTAAGAAAAAAACACCCGTGTATTGTTACAAATTACACAATAACTTTAAATTACTGTTTTTTTAAGTAATTCATTTTTAATGTTTTGTTCTGGGACAGAAAAAAGTAATTTTTTTCACCAGATGTCGAAAAATTAAAATTAATCAATGTTACATAACACTAAACTATGACCCACCTTCCCGTAAGTAACCGAGCGTAACGCTGACTCAAACCCCCTCCCCCCTCTTTGGCGTTACGTAATTTGTGGGCGATCACGTGGTCGGAGAACAGACGAACGGCGCAACGCGCATCACCGTAGCCGCCGCTTCGCCCCGCCACTGCCACCGGCGCGCTCGCCCCCGCGCGGCGCAACCCCTTTTTTCTCTTCGTTCTTTGTCCCCTCCACAGTAACCCTGTGAAGAAGGGGAATTTATTTCTTTTAATTTATACATTTGGCTGCAGCCTTGCGGCTTCAGCAGCTAGAGGAGGAGCTTTATCTTACAGTTAATTGTTATATTCTAGAACTAAAGTTAAATTATTTGCACTTTGGCATTCCTAACTTATACCAAGTTGGGTTTTTATTAATTACTACCCTTGCAACCCCTGCGCAGGCAACCCGGCCGCCACGCCGCGCGGTGCGGGCGCCTTCGCCGGTCGTAGACTGATTAATTCGTTTTTTGGCTGCGCATAGTACTAAGGGCATTAGTATCCGAAAGTGTAGTGCATATTTTATGGCGGGATCCATCCCCGCTGTGTGGTGATATCCGGCGCCGACCTGCCCGTCGGTATGCGAGGTATTCTCCAAACAGGTATATCCCACTAGCGGATCACTGCCTCAGTTGGCACACGTTTTAAGCTCCCGATGTGCGATTGTGTTGCATGTCAGTGTGTGTGTGTGTGTGTGTGTGTATGTGTGTGCACGTAATAGACACGGCACGTAATAGGACACGGAAGAGGAAAGAAATACTGCGCGTGGTTCGTGTCCCATTTGTTACAGTACTCCTCCGTCTCCTCCTGATGTTGAACGGTGTAGAAATATCGATCAGAGCGGCCAACCGTTAGAACTCTCCTGAAGACAGCGGCTGAATTCGACCTAGTTATGTGGATTATGTCGAAAATCCTGCAACTGTTGTGTTTCGGACCCTAAGACTTCTCGGTCAGAGGCACTGCAGAGACATCAATTGATGCTCTGAGTCACCGAAGTCAGAGCCTGCCATACAGGGAAGGGACCCTTACAACTAAAAAGGCGAACGCTTAGCGAGGGATTGGACATCGATTAGAAAACATGGGTGTTTGTAAGACATCGCTACGAAGTCATGTATCTCCACAAAACCATACATGACTTGTAAACACTGACGTTTTTAAAACGGGTTTAGTATTCTATAACGTTTCTTTTTGAATTCTGAAGAAATGTATTTGACAGTGGTCATATTTATTAATTTATAATTAAGATGTAACTGAAAAAATTACAATAATTAACAAAATAGTCAGAATATGAGCGTTCAGGGTTATCTGATGTGATTAGAGCTTCCGCAGTTGACTGTACAAGGATATGGAAAGAAGGGGAGGCTTTATACTACGGCGCATGCGTTGACAGTCTCTCCAAGTGAGCTACACGAGGATAGGCGTAAGAAATACGAGACCATCGAATTTATCTTTTCGGCGAGAGATAGTCTTCTCGTTGCAGGTTATGAACTCCGATCGCTTCATTTGAACACCTGAACTGAAAGAGCTTCATATGAAATTTCGTGTTTTAACTTTTACAAATTGTGATTAAGGAGCTTAAAATTCTAAAAGCACATAGCGAAAATGTAAAAACATCGAACATTAAAAATATCTGTTGAACTAAGGAAGAAGTAAATCGCAGTTTTAAATATCGATGCTTCAGCAAACCGTAGATGATTTGAAAACATTGACATAGATGTCGCCTCTGCACGCACGTCACAGCCTGATGTAGATCACGTGCCCATCGCGTGATAGGTTGCAAATGGATCGACACGAGCATAAGAGCTTCCTGGGTCTCATACGTGGAGAACGCGAGCGTGCCCAGTACTTTAATATTGTCTTCAGCAGTGCAGTTATTGCCGCAGGAGGTACAGATAGAACCCTCTCGGTAGACGAAAGATACCCTGAAGATATACGGTGTCCGGAAAGGGCATGGGGAGGTGTGGAAACGGGAAATGTGTCTCTTACTGAAAAGAAAGGGGAATTAATTAGTACGAGAAGGTTCATGCCATTTTTTAAGATTACTAGTGTTTTGTTATTTTTTCTTTCATTTACTCTGCTTCTTTTCAGATATATTCTTATTCTTTTTCTTCTTTCTTTCGTCTTCTTTTTTGTCTTCTCTTTTTTCTTCTTTTTGTTCTTCTTCACATTCTTCTCTTGCACGGATCTTCTCCAATCTCTGCCAACCCGCTCCTCCTGGATTTTTTGTTTTTTGCCACAAACTTATCCTCAGATGTGAGGCCCCCCACCCTCACCGCCCTGCCTTGGTGCACCCTCGCGCTGTCATCCCGCGCTCCCTGGGGCCACATGGCCTCTCTCTGCCCGCCCCCCCTGCCCCCTCCCCCCACCTGCCCCCTCTCTGCCTCACCGCGGTCGCGCTCAGCGCGCGTGATGATAGAATTCGGAATAGTATTTATTGCACCTGTTAACTGTTTAGCTGCGCGCGCGCTGTGTGCTGTGGCTTACCGAGATCGCTATCGTTCTCCAGCGCGCCCAATGCGATGATTTTCGTGCGCCGCCGTTTCGTGGTTATTGCGGTGTGGTTTTCGCGCGCAGGTCTACTTTTCTTTGCATATGCAATTTTACGTGCGGTACGGAGACAGTTGTGCTTTCTTTCTCAGAGATTGCGACTCACGATCTCGGAATGCCTATGCTGTCAGATGATTGAATTAAATAATTATAATTATCCTGATCCGTACCTTATGGTGCCTTTTCCGCGCTTTGATGCGTGGAGAGCACATTGGGTGAATACCAGAATGTCGAAAATTGCAACGCGCAAAGGATGTAGTATGTAATGGCTTAAAGGGCCTCCGCTAGCCCATAGGATCAAGTAATCTATTGTTTGTACTATACATACATATTAAATAAATAAAAAATTTATTGTTAATTTTTGGTTTTCTTCCTGTAAAATATATTATTGCTCTGACTGTGTGTACGTACCAATTCCCTCCATTTGCGTACATATTATTTATATATTACGACTGGTATGTCGATCACTGCATCATCTACCCCCCCGCCCCCCCCCACCTTTGTTCACTGTTTGAAAGATATTCTATACATGAATCCCAATATTATGATGAAAATGTTCTTTGTTAACTAACTTAGGTGTAGAAAAGTTATTAGCATTGCAGAACATAGGATAACAAATTACAATCAATGAGAGTTAGTTTACAGGGAGTGTTTTTTGTCTACGATGGGAAATGAAATTCAGGTTACTTAGAACAGCTTACCTAGGGGGTACTCGTTTACCTTTACCATGTTAGAAACACAGTGGGTTTTGTTTGTATTATGTTTACTGTTTGAGTAAATCTCCCAATTGTATACTTGTGAAGAAGTCGAGATTCGTGACTATTCAAATAGTAGGTAGTTCTCGTAGCGGATATTATTCTTTGATTCATATCTTTATTAAACCTAAGAAAATAGCAGCACGCTGAAGATACTATAGTGACTGATCAGAAATTTTGAAATCCGCCTTCACACTAGCCTGGGGGGTGTGGGCGTGGGGGGTTGGTGTTTAATGGCGCGTGAGTATTTTAAGTAGATGTGAGTGTAGTATTACAACTCTTATCGTCGTCAAATTGGATTTGATTTAACAGTCTCTTAAAGAGCATTACACAGGAGTCATCGTCATGTTCGAATAGTATCGACATCATTACCAAGGAGCATTTCATTCTGAAAACGCTTACT